CCTCATGTAGTGGAAGGTGTCTCTGTCTGTGAAAGGGAACTACACATTCTTCAAGGTCCTTTCCAACCCAAACCATTCCATGAATCTCTGATCTTGCCAGGATGAGCTGAAGCTTGACAGAGTCCAGAGACCAAGAAAATGTAGGCAAGCACCTTCAGGTTCTTGTCCATAAGACGGAGTGCCTGTGCCAAGCAAGACTCACAGATGAGTCCAAACTTACTGATTCTATCCTAAATGTCAACATGTGTCAAAAATGCTTCTACAAATCCAGCAAAGCCCCTCAGACTGAGCCTGAGAGCCCTGAAGAGCTTGTGGCTTCAGTCTTGGACAGCGATGCCTCTCTTCCCAAAAGCACCCCAAACTGACAATAATTCACCCTAGGCTTCCATCAGTTTTAGGGTGGCAAAATAAACTGATTAATTGATTTTACTGCTCCTGAAAAAATCTGATGGTAATGATGCAAATTTCCTGGGGAAGGGTGAGGGAGTCGGAATTCCCTTCAATCCTAGTAAAGAATATAGCAAGCTATATATACATGCCCAAGGAAAAGTGTTGCTCTGTGAAGTTAATATTTGAGCAAAAACCAGGTAAAAGCAGCCACACAAAAGCTGCACTTTCAGCTTCTTCCAGGACTGTTGAGTTGTCTCACCCTGAAGCAGTTCAGATCTCAAACTCAGCTTCCCCACTTGGGAAATGCTTTGAAACTCCTTTGTGGCCATAGGAATTCTCTGCCATGCACCATCCTAACCAGGATTTTGTATCAGTTCAATCAGAAAAGCAGGTTTGTTCTCTCACACTGTACAGATGTAGAGCTGAGCCCTCTCTGAGGTGCAAGAAAAAATCCTATGTATTTCTATAATGTGCACTTAAAAAAAAAACTTAATGCCAGTGGGAAAACTGAGGTGAAAGCTAAAAGTATTTTTGTTCCTCAAATCAGGGGAAATCAACACTTTTTAAAGTAAATCTCATCACTGCTAAAATCTCATCAGTGCTAAAAGCCCTAAAAATATCTTTCTTAAAACTCCTCCTTAAGCAGGCAAATTCTTCTGCTAGTGACTAATGGAGGATGCCAAAATCCTTCATGGAGTGAAGACTCATGGGTTACATCCCAGACACACCTGAAAATGGTGAAAAACTGTGATTGTGACCCAATGCTCTCATTCCTCCTGACCTTGAAATGACACAAGATCGAATATCCAACAAGGTGACAAACTCCTCTCTGAGCTGAGCAGTGCAGAAGCCTGGTTTGGAAAGCCTGGAGCACTTCTGTAGCCACCCAGCCTCCAAGGAAAGGACATCAAGGACCTTCCATTGCCACTTCAAGCTCTGTTTCATGGCTTCCAGGTAGTCAGCAAATTTCTCTTGCAGCCTGCATGGCCACTTTCCTTTCCTTGAGATCACGATAAGGCAGGGTCAGATTGTGTGAAAATGAAAGACTTTTAATTTTTTTTTTTTTTTCTTCTTCTAACACACCTCTCAGAAAGCATTGTCCAGGTTAGAGGGAGGCTTTCATTTCCAGCCACTTTGTGGAAGATCTTGGGAGACCAAAGAGCTACCCCAGTCAAAAGAAGGAGACTGGTTTTCACTGCCTTTTGGAGACACTGCTCTACCTGGGTGTTTAATTTGATTTCCCAAAATTAAAAACTCGTTACCTTCAGTGACTAATGTTGGAGAACCCCCTCATCCCACACACTCTAGCTAAGGAGGCAGATAAATGCCTTGGAAGCCTGGATTATTAAACCAAAGGTCAGAGAGAAGACAAATCAGTCGATTTTTCCTGCATCACTGGAGAAAGACTCAGCTTTGCCTCCTGGCCTTAGCTCCCTGTCCCAGCTCCATGCACCTATTTTACTTTTGCTTCCATTCCCTTCCCAATTAATCCAGGGTCAGTTGCATTCAGCCAAGAGCTTTGTTTGGGCATTTACATTTCACTTGCCAGCACATCCAGCTCCAAGTATGCAGCCCACAAATATTTGTGCTGGCTCTAGAAAGAGCTTCAACCAGGATTATTCACTTTGGGTCTGATATATTCCCTGCCCTCAGCATCAACCAAGTCTGCCTCACTGACCAGAGCTGGCACTCCATGTGGGATGAGCTCTCCCAAGTTTCCTTGACACAGAAACAATCCTTATTCTGAAAGACTCAGCTCTCAAAAGCAGAGAAAACATTTCAGAAAAGGGAATAGACCAATTTGACAGTCAGAATCCTCCTCTCATCTGATGCCTTTGTGAGTCCTGTGCTCAGAAAGTCTCCCTGAATTTGGCAAGGAAGCAGGTAACTTTGGGGTTTTTTTCTGTTTTATCAGGACCCTGCAGCTAGGTAAGCAAACACTTCTGCAGTTTACAGTCCAAAGTAATGCCCTGTGTGGCAGAACAATTCACCATTAATCCCTATTCCCAAATACTCTGCCTTCCCTCATCTGCCTAATTTTAGGCAGAGTGACAGCCCCTTAACAAGAAAGTAGAAACCGTGGCAATTTTACTACTTAGATACCCAAAACCATGATGGTTTTCCTAACAGCCAGGGCTATAAACCTGCCAAATGTTCCCTCACAGCTCCCATCTCCAAAGCTAGAGGGTGTTCAAGGAGAGACATGCATCAGCCTCTGAAGGAGAGGGGTGAAGTGGCAGAGGAGGAAGATTAAGCCATGATTTGCAGTCGTGGAAGCAGAAAGCACTGCCCCAAAGGTCTCACCTGAAGAGCTGACCCTCCTGAGCAGAGATCTATGCAGCCCTGCCAGCTCTAGTGATTCATGGCACGCTGCTTTTTGCTGGTGCAGCTCTCAGGAGAGACAAGCAGAAGTTCTTGTAGAGCACTCGAGGCTGTTTGCCTGGTGATGAGAAAGGGGGGCAGTGGAAGGACACGTCAGTGTTAGGGCAGGGTGACAGAAAGGGAGGATTGAAGGGAAGGGAGCTGCTGGTCCTCCTCAGCAGAGCACCCTGGTACTGCTCTGTATGGAGATACCAGAAGCCAAATGGGAGAAATGGGAGAGCCATTAGACCATGGGGAGAGGGGATGAACCAGGAGACAGCTGGAGAAATTCTGGGGCTGATGACAGGGATAGGGAAGCACAGTTAAAATTTTAAAAACCTGCATTGAACTATCTGGACAATTAACAATAATTCTGAGATAAAAAAATAATTAGTGCAATTAGTGCCATATGCATCTATTTATGTAACTGCTCAGGAAAGAGGAAAATTATCTAGCCATGTTTCTGGAGTGCTCTGAAGAGTCGAGGAATTGATTCTTTAATTAAATTTTTAAAAAATAGTTTAGGAGAGCAAACACAATATCTGCATGATACACAGTCTTATCTGGGTTAAGGATCTCCAGCAGTTATTAAGGTGCTTTATGCTGCAAATAATTTTGTACATGTAAACATCTTTCCTGATCACATTGATCTCCACAGGCTGACTTTTTATTCTTGCATCCTCTCCAATCTCCTAAATTTACTTTCAAATCTTCTGACTATTACTATTACTATTACTATTTTTAATCCTCTGGTTTTCAAAACAGGATACATGTGAATTAGGACAGATCTGATGCCCTGATGAAAGCAATGGATTGGAAAGAAAAGGAGAGACATTGCAAACAGGTCTGAGAGTTCCTATTGCATAGAGAAGGTCAGTCAAATCCATCAGGCAAATAAAGGAACAAATCCCAATTTCTCCTCTTTCTTCATAACCAAATCTCAGCAGGAACAGCAGTCACACACATGAAATCAGAGAGACATATCCTAAACAGTGGATTTTTGCCTGCAAGCTGCTCAAAGGGAGGCACCTTTAATAAATTGTGCTACATTTAGAAAAGTAATTTGAATTCTGTAATTAGCACACGTACAATGAGAGCTAACTGTGCGTGTTTGTGTGTACACAGCTCTGGAAGAGGGAGTTTAATGAACTGTGCCTCCTGCAACTGCAAATCAAGTTTCATTTTTGTCAGTGCTGTGCCACGTGATGCTGTGATGCAGCTTCCAACACCACAACACACTTTTCCTCCTAAAAAATATCCTCTCCCTCTTTTATTTTTTCATAGAATCATGGAATAGTTTGGATTGGAAGGGTCCTCAAAGATCACTTGGTTCCAGTTCCCCTGCCAGGCACACTTTCCACTATCCCAGGTTGCTCCAAGCCCCATTCAACCTGGTCTTGGACACTTCCAGGAATGGGGCAGCCACAGCTTCTCTGAGCAACCTGTGCCAGGGCTTTACTACCCTCAGAGGGAAGAATTTCTTCCTAATATCCAATCTACATCTTCTGTCTTTCAGTTTGAAGCCATTTCCCTTTGTTTTGTCACTATATGCCTCTGTCACAAGTCTCTTTTCTCTTTCCTCCTGGGTCCACAGACCTTGGCCAAGTAGAACTGGGGGGTAAAAGAAAAGGAACAAGAAAAAGCTACAGAAACATCTGTTTTGGCTTAACTCCAGTAAGCAGCAGCTCCACAGCTGCTCATTCACTCCTTATTTGCTGGTGGGGTGGGGTGAGAAGCAGGAAAGGCCTTGACTCTGTAAGAACTGCTCAGCAGTAACTAAAATATCCCTGGATTATCAACACTGCTTTCATTACAAATCCAAAACACAGCCTCATACTGGCTACTGTGAAGAAAATTATCTCCATCCCAGCCAAAACCAGCACAGTTTCCTACTCCGGCTTCACTTCAAAAATAAATAACCACCACGCCCAACAACAAAAAAACAACAAACAACAGAGAAATAACACCTCCAAGAACAACAGAATGCCCTCTTTCACCATGGGCCATCTTTTCTGTGTCATCTCCAGACCATTCTCTGCCACCTGAAAGCAGCACAAGCAAAGCTTTATACGATCAATACACATCATACTGCCATTCATCACCAACAGGGACGGGAAAAAATGAAGTAATCCTGACAAAAAGGTGTCCAGCTAAAATGAAAGGATGGAAGGAAGGGTGAGGATAGATGAGAGGAAATAATGAAAAGGCTGGGACAAAGAAGGATCTGCAACAATTTAAAATAAACTCACAGTCCATCCTGCAGCTCTTGAGTATCATTCGAGGTCCCCAGGGATCGAAGACTTCTTTCCAGAGAGGTCACTGTCAACAGCAGAGAAATAAAAAGATAAAGAAGCAGCACACGTTTTCAGAGGGGAAAAAAACTCTGAATCTTACTTCATATGTTTGTCTTTTAATTTAATGTTATTTTTTAAAAAATACAATTAAGTATTTGAACAAGTAACCAATGAAAGAAAGGGGACAACATCTACCAGTAGCCACAGAAGGATAAACTGGGTCCACTGGAAGCATAAATGGTGAATCCATGTATAACGTGCCATACAAGACATGTTATACATGGCTTGTATATCTTGCACAGATCTCTGACTCTTCCAGCCTTGAGGTGACACAGAATTGTGCACGGAGCATTTCCAGCTGGAAACGTGCCCCTGGTGAAGAGGCAAGAAATTGCATAATAACTGTTTATTGCTATGAATAATAATTAAGAGGCAGAACACTGATGCCTACTCTGATGTCTTCCATTTTCTTGTTCAAGATGCTAAACCTCAAAATTATTTCTATCTTTTGGCTCAGAAATAATGGAAATGTGATTATCTCCTGTGTTTGTCCTCCACAACTTCTCGGGCTTTTCCATCAGGAGAAAAGAATACCCTAAAAGCAGTTGGAAGGTAGAAACATGGTTTGCTTTGTCATTTGCAATTACTTAAGATTTAAGAAATATCTATATATATTTGTGTGTATATAAAAGCAGAAATCTAGGAGTACTGTTGTCTTTTCCCACCCTTGAATTTCACTGTTTCAATTCACTTTCTAAGTAACAATAGGTCACTGCTTCAGGACTTAGCACAGCCAGCAAGCAAAGCACTTCAAGATTTCCAACAATGGAACATGTTAAATAAATTACATTATTGATATTTACATGTGGGATTTCTTTCAGAACATTTCCAGTTGTAAAAACCCACAGCCCATTATCAGTCACGCTTCAGTATTTCAGGATAGAAAAAAGAACAGATTAAAAACATGGCTCAATTATTTCTGCAGAAATTTAAGAAATCCTCTGTTTTAATGACTCTGCAGACTTGGACTTGGCCTGTAATTTTGAACAAGTCACTTAATTATATTTTTACTGTCAGAAAAAATCCTCACTTCTCTTTTGTGCTCTGCTGGCTTGACACCAAAAGTCACTAAACAGCACAAAAAGTAACTAATGTGCCTGAACTATGTGAATATGCAAAAAAAAAACTTTGAATACCACCATATATTTCCATCAATGCTAGTTCTCAGGAACAGATTTTACTGCAGAGTTTGGAGATTCAGTAAGATAAAGCCTCAAGGAATTGTGTATAACTGAGCTAATAATTATTTTTCTTTGCTGGAAGCACAGTGTTCTAAAGAATAAATTTGAAGTTTTCACTAATAACCATTTGCTTCTGTAGAAGGACACCACTGACCCTGCAGAGATCTCATGAATACTATAATTCCCTCTTTCCATCTCCACAATCCTAACAAATCAATTTCCCTGGAAATCCACATGCAGTCCAGTTCCAATACACAATTTTGCATCTACTAAAAATGTTTTTGGGCCCATCAACCCTTTGGAACAAAGCAGAGTGTGGTCCTTGGAGAATGGACAGCAAGCCAAGGCACAGAAAGGACTTGTGTGGACACTGAATTTGTAAAAACAAGTTAATGTCATGACAGCAATTCCAGAACAAAACCAGCAGCTACAGCTTCCATGAACCTTTCTAACCTGGCCTGAAAAAATAAGGACAATTCAAAGTGAGTTCTACTGACACCTGCTTTGGAGAAGATTGGAGTGGGAAGCAGTTTTGCTACTGAACAAAACAGTTCAAGACTTCACACTCAAGCTATTTTACACTGAGGAAAACCCAGAAGCTGTCAGATTTATTCAGCATTTTGGAAAACCTACAAAAAGGTGAAAAGAATATGAAACATGAATGCGAGAGGTGAGGAAAGCTTTCATCAGATGAGAAAGTGACCTGAGATTAGTTTTTATCCAACAATTTTACCTAATATTCCAATTCAAACACAGTATTTAGACATCTAAATAAATGTCAGTTGTCCCAGAATGACAAGATATGCACCCTGGAGGAGTCAAGGGTTACCATTTGATCTAACTCTTAAGTCGAAAACAGCAGGACTAAAACTCCAACATTACTTCCCTGAATCTCAGGAAAGCCAAAAGTACCCTGGGCTGCATCAAAAGAGGAGTGGCCAGAAGCTCAGTGGAGGCGATTCTCCCCCTCTACTCTGCTCCCATGAGATCCACCTGGACTGCATCCAGCTCTGGGGCCCCCATCCAAGAAGGATGTTCACCTGTAGAAGAAAATCCAGGTGGCCATGGAGATGACCACAGGGCTGGGGCATCTCTGCTCTGAAGCCAGGCTGAGACAGCTGGGATTAATCATCTGGAGAAGAGAAGCCTCCAGAGAAAACTTAGAGCACCTGCCAGTGCCTAAAGGGGCTCCAAGAGAACTGGAGAGGAACTCTGGAGAAGGGCATGAAGTGATAGGATAAGAGTGAGAGGATTTACACTGACAGAGGGCAGGTTCAGACTGGATACTAGGAAGAAATTCTTCCCTGTGAGGGTAGTGAGGCCCTGGCACAGGTTGCCCAGAAAAGCTGTGGCTGCCCCATCCCTGGAGGTGCCCAAAGTCAGACTGGACAGGGCTTGGAGCAACCTGGGATAGGGAAAGGTGTCCCTGACCATGGCAGAGGGTTGGAATCAAGTGATCTTTAAGGTCCTTTCCAACCCAAGCCATTCTATGATTCTGTAATTAAATCTGAGCTACTCTGGGCTAAATCTAACTTGCTTTGACCAAGAATAAATTTATCAAAATCTCTGCAGCTCCCGTGCTGGATGTGGAAAATCTCTCTCAATGTCCCAGTTCTGGTCATGTGAGCAGAAGTTTGACCAGAGGAGCAAAACATCAAGCTCTGCTGGAGGGATGTGTGAAGCCATTCTTAAAACAGGAATCTTATTTTAAAAGTCTTGTTCTTTTTGTTATTAAAAGGCACGACCTAGTCCATTCACAAGGCATCAGTGACGTTGCAGCTGCACTGATAAACTTCACAGAGAGCTTGGCCCTCAGTTGCCTGTGCCATTGCAATCCTTAAACCAGTGGGGAATAAAAACCATCCTGAAATGGCAATGGAGACTCTATCACGCCTGAGGGACATGGAAAAATCCTTTGCTCAGCCTTTATGATGGAGGTAATAGGACTGCACATGGCACCAACCAGCTATTGGCAGTCATTAGTGAGCGAGGAGCAGGAATTAGAGAGGCAAGAGACCCATTAGAGAATTCAGGTTCTCCATCTGGCCTGATTCCTCCAGTATATCCTCCACTGACCAGACAAGATGCACCAGAGCAACTCCATTTAGGAGTGTTTCTTATTGTACTTATTTATAAGATTCTTACTAAGAGGCAGCTAAAAGCTTCACATGAAAAAAAAAAAAAAA